TACTGGATCCAAACTCCAGAACTGGGGCATTGGTAGATGACATGATAACTTTCACTCAACAAAAGATAAGTGTCATGCCACGTAGTACGTAATAAGATGTCTGTTTCTAGAGGGTCCAAGAACAAAGCCATTTTGGTTTTGTTTAATCTGTATCTGAATCATTTATTCAAATAAGTGCTTCCAATATGCAATTAACCATGTCCCAGCATCTACAAGCCAGCATACCTGGTGGGCAAGTGAATAAAAAGTAATCCCATCCCATGATGAGTCTGAAGGAAGCTTGACAAACAGCTGTGGGTTTTTTTAACCTTGACATTCACTATTTGTCTCAGTGGCAAGGAAGAGAGCCAGACTGTCCTAAACCAGCCATTTGGGGAACATCCTCTAATGGAGGTGGGGAGACACATAGAAGGCATAGCTACAAATCAGATAAGTTAAGGATTATAAATATTCTTATTTTTCTGTTGTCCCCTGTTGCACAAATTTACTGCATTCAGAGACTGTGATTTGCTGGGTTGCCAGAAAGCCTTGTCTGGGGCTAAATGAAAGAAGGGACTTTTAATAGATATCTCCTGCCTGGGGAAAAAGTTTGAGTCTTGCTTTTCCCCAGAACAGGAAACAGAACTTCAAATCCTGTCACTCTGCAGCAATAAAAGTGAATTTAAATTACTTGAAGGTTTGCAAGAATACAAGTCCAATACATCTGTGTAACCTGTCTTTGTTTTTTATCAGAATCAAAGATATTACAAGTCTGGTTGCTATTTCTGGGCCAACATAACACCTAAAAGTATAGATGCAGCAAATATCTTTATAAGGGTCATGATTGAGATATGATTGTGTCATTTGCATACTGTCTGCCTGCAAAACCTGGACTAGACATTTTGTATAGGAAAGAGTTATGAAAAATGGAAGCTAAACAGATAGGGCATCTACTCCCCCAGAAAGAAGGAAATTAGCATTGGTTAACCACCAAAAGGTGTCCAGGCATGATGTTAAATACCTGATACCTGCTCTGTGCAGGCAACCTTGGCAATCAGTAAGTGGAACAGATGGAGATCATTGCCCTCATGGAGCTTATGTTCATTCTAGCAATAGCAAGAGTTCTTTTATTCCAGAATCCAAGCTACTTGATTGCTAGTACAGCAGGTCCTTGAATAACATCGTTTTGTTATAATGTTGATGAGATGCAGTAGGAACTTAAATCTTGTTTATATCAATTAGTCTATGCTGAAATTGGTTTTGTTGTATGTCATTTCACTGAAAGTCGCAGAACCTATTGACGAGGTTAAGTGAGGGCTTACTGTACACCAGGGGAGGTTTGTGGCTGCCTTGCCCAGAAGCAGATTAAAAAATAAAGAGAGGAAAGAAGGAGGAAGGGAGTGCAGAAGGAAAGGACGGGGGAATGAAAAAGTAGGAAAGAGAGGATGGAGCATAAGAAGAAAGAAAGAGGAAGGAAATGCTCATTAGTATGATGACTAACTAGAGACTAAGGGACCTCTTGGCCAGTCCTAGACTGGCAACAGGAAAGAGACAACTAAGCTAACCACCCATCTGGGAGACTCACGTAATTTCTCCATGAAGCCTCTGCTCCCAAGCATGAATTTTAGAATCACCTTATTTTACCTGAGGGGACCTGGCCTCCCAGGAAGGCAATATTTACACCAAGAGTTGATGTGCAGTCTTGCCTGTGTTCCTTGAACAAAATAAGAACACCTCTAATCTGCTTTGTGTAGAGGAGCCCAAAGAGGCTTGCATTAAGACCCATAAGTATCTTATCCTGCATATATTCTGTGGCAAACAGGGTACAAATAGAACCCTGGCTCTGCACTTTTAGCAGCTTGTGCTCCCCTCGCTCTCCTGCCGAGCTTCTGTTTCATGTTATCTCTCAACATCTAAATCCTCCAAGAATTATTGTAAAACCTGCTTGTCGCTGAGAGGGATCTTGTCTCACTCCCTCTGCACGGTAGCCAGAGATAATGAATGGGTCAGCATAATTACCGTGTTTTCTCACACAGGCAGCCAGCTGCTCTGCCAGATTGTGAATTTTTCATTTTCTTTATTTCAAAATCCAGGGTTTTCCTATGAAAACTTCATATTTGAACATTGGCAAAATGGAGTTAAAATCAAGCCATGCTCACTCATTTTCTCCTGGTCCTGAAGCAAACATCTCATATCTCATTACTTTTGGGCTTTTATGATATTAGGATTTACCCACTTTCCCTGTTAAGACAGGCACCTCTCTAGAGTGTCAAGCACAGTTATTTGAAACTGGAACCAGGAAACGTGGGTGCGAGGGGCTGGCAAGCTAACAGTTAAGTTCAGCTGCATGATTTGTTTTTAACAATAAAAAAGAAGGTTACAAATAACCAGCATGGTTTTCTCAGACACAAATCGAAAGATGAAATCATTCTGGCTTATTCACCAATCCTAGCATTTTACCCTCATCATGAAAGAAAGAAATGATAGAATTCATGAAGCAGGCTGGCTGTTCACCATTTGGGAACACAGAGAATTCCAAATGACAGTCAGTCCATCTTCCCTTCAGGTTAAAGGGTTATATTCCAACCTGTGCAGTTCCGTGTGGTGGTATAGAATCAGGAGTGACTTTGTAGGAAGTCCCTTGCTCTCCCTGCCGGCCTGCCACCCCACCATACAGCTACAAACACGAGTACTGTCCAAGGCCCCAGGGTACTGGAACGAGACTGGGTGGAGAGCTTCTGCTCCTGAATGGGATGTAGGAAGGGGAAAGCCCCTCTTGGAAGTTTGGATATAGGGTGGAGACCACATTAGCACAGCAGGAAATACAATACCCCCACCTTAGGTGTCTCATCAAACAGAGTTCCAGGAAGGGTGAAGTGTGGGTGTGTTCAGTTAACAAAGTTAAAGAGCTGCCTTCCCAGCAAGGTCTCTCCTAGTGTTTATGTCATGTCAAAAGAAATTCTGTGTCCTTCCCTGCTTTGCGCATCATAACAAGCACTGTGTGAAACCCCAGGAGAGATGGAGCAGGAAGGCAAGGCTCTGAAGGGGAATGAAACCCTTCTCACCCTGGCTCATCTCACCAGTCTTCCTCTCTCTGAAAATCCTCAAATCTCCTGTTAGGTCAATGGGATGAGAAAAAAAAATGGGACCAGCAGAGAAGGTGTACTGGATGGTCTGCCCATCATTTGGCCTGACTACAGCCCACAACTTTATTCACTTGGTCATCCATGCATTTGTGGAGGTGCCCAAAATTTAGAACCTACTGTGAATAAAATCAGGGGGTTCCTCTTGACTTGGGGAAGCAAGAGGAGATGCAGAGATGAATGGGACATGGAGGGAGGTCTCAAGGAGCTTGCACACTAATACAGATAAAAGTAACAAATGACTGACTTTCCTTCTCTCAAAATGAATACCCGTGAGAGATATTCCATAAAATATACCTGCAAGAGATATTCCAGGCCTCGGTGCCCTGACCAGGTGGCTGAGCTGGTTGGCAGTTAGGTGGCACATTGTTCTACACACTGAAAGGTTACAGATTCAGTCCCTGGTCAGAGCACACATGTAGGTGGTAGGTTTGATCCCATGTTGGGGCACAGAAGGGAGTCAACCAATCAATGTTTCTCACATCAATGTCTCTCACTTCTCGCCCTTCTCATTCTCTAAAATCAATAAACATTGCCTCACATGAGGATTAAATAAAAATGAGTACCTGGGAAAATGGAGTTGAGGAGTGCTGGATTAGTTAGGTTAAAGCATACCCCTCTCTGTAGGATTTTCTGAGCCTTCAATATAGGTCTCCTGAGACAGTGAGTTCCCAGGTGTATTTTCCAGAAAAGCACCCCATCCACATGCACTGGGGGTTGGCGCTGCTGTTTAGTGGGATGGGACAAGCACTGGCTGCATGGTGAGAGCTTTGGGGGATTCAGAGAAGAGGAAGGAGCAGGAAAGCAGAAGCAGTTCCGTGAGGCCTCCTGGGTTAGGATTTGCACGTGGTGGGAGGAAGGACAGCCCAGGCAGAGGCAACAGAATTAATTATTGGGGGTCTCAAGCATTGCGCTTAATTTCCCTCTTGACTCCTCACCAAGTTATCCTGTTCAGAGAATTTTCCCCTAGGAAAGAAAGCCCTGCCCACACTCTTCTTAAGAGTTGAGTTCCCAGACTTCTCTGTCCTTATTGCTACTGTGTTTTACAGGCTGAATAAATGGTTAGGGGGCTGATGGGACATTGGAATGATTTGTTTCTGGGAGCATGAGGTGTACTGTATTTCAATTAACAATATAGGTACATAAAGGAAAATGTAGGAAATAACTAAAAATGGGTTGGGGAAAAGCTATGAACAGACAACTAACACTCATGCCATTCAGCCCCAGAGATAAGTATGGAACACATCAAAATATGTGTGTATATGTGTATATATATATAGATATGTACACAAATATAAATATACATATATACACATATTCACATATACATATGCACATATACCTGCATATACATACATACACATACTCATGCATATTATGTTGGCACACGATGTACATACATATTCACTAACACATGGAGAGGTACATATATAAATGTTACACACTAGATGTGTGTGCGTGCATGTATGTGGATGGATTCATGGATGGATAGATGGACGGAACAATGGATGGATAGATAGAAGACCAATACACGTTGAGAACACATTGCACATACATCTTGCAATCCACCTTTTAATTGCTTGTGAGCTTTAAGTCTGTTTTTAAGAATTCTTCATCAATGTTTGTCATTTAGCATATTCTCCTGGACACCAGGCCCACCTACTTAACTAGCCCATCCTCTTTGGAATCAGACCTTGGCCTTGCCCCTAGCCCTGCTGCTGCCTTTATACCCCTAGCCCCTGGAAGCATGTGAGGGGTTGTGGAGGGTGGCAGGTGTCCAGTTTTTGCCCTGGGGCAGCAAGGTCGGGATGGAATGTTCCTTCAGTGGTAGGTGTGACTCTGAAAGCCTTTGCCTTGCTCTCTCCTCTCCTCCTACAGTGCCAGGCTTCCCGTATCCAGCCGCCACTGCGGCGGCCGCCTACCGAGGGGCACACCTGCGAGGCCGTGGTCGCACCGTGTACAACACCTTCCGGGCCGCGGCACCCCCACCCCCGATCCCTGCCTATGGCGGGTAAGTGATGCTACCCCCTGGGCGGGCCTCCCTGCACCCGCCCCCTCCTGTTTGCGAGCGCATGTTGGTCTTGACTGCCCCACCAGAACACCCCAGCATGCAGCCCAGCGCGCCTGCCGTGGAGCACCTTGCAAAGAGTATTGAAAAATGAGTGTAATTTGTCCTGTCATGGATGGTGCCTTTAAGCATTCTACATGTCACATATTGTTATGTAAATTCTCTCTGAGACTGAATGCTGGAGAACAGAGAAATGGTTACAGCCAAAGATGTATTTCTGATGATTGCAAACATCTGGTTATTAAGGAGGTTGGATCACATTTGCCCCATGAGTCTGTCCATGGAAGGACATGGGGTTTTCAAACATAAAAATCACTGGCTGGTCATGCTCCCTTTCCCTAAGACACCTTGAGTTTCAAGGTTTATGAGCCTTTGGCTGGGAAGAGAAAATTGGATATGGAGTCAAATGCAAACATTCAAAATTTCAGTGAAATTGGAATTATGACTCGTTTTAGCTGGATTTTCCAAGATGACACTTGTCTTTGTTTCCCCTCTGCAAGGAAATGCCAATTCACGTGTTCCCCATTGCCAGTTTGGTATTTCTGTGCATGGACTTTGGTATTGCCAAGTGAATAGCAGGGAATGGTGGTGAATGCTGAAAAAACTGGTACTGGTGTGGTGGGCTACAACCTAGAGATGCTACCCTTTCTCCTTCCTGATCCTCCTAGAACATTCCTGTACACACAGAGTCAGGGAGACAGGGATATCTCTAAGGCAGTGGTCCTCAAGAAACATTGGGAATATCTGGAGACATTTTTGGTTGTCATTACAGGAGCTGAGAGGTACAATGGCACTTAATGGGCAGGGATGCTGCTAAACATCCTAGAGTGCACAGGATGGCCCTTCCCCTGATACAGAGAGTCCTGGTGCCCTAAATATCATTGGTGCTGCTATAAGGAAACTCAGTTATGCCCAGGATGGCCTGGTGGGAGGATTCCCTTGCCTGTGACTGGCTTTCTCATCTTTAGGAAGAATATGACTCTATTCAGGACTATGTGAACAGGGTTAAACACATTTTTAAATAGTTCTGTTGCTTGTAAATCTATTAGAAAACCTGAATTAGCCTAGAATATCTCTCTATTATACTGAGTGAGATATTCATATTTCTACCATTTCAAAGGAGAGCATTTGAAGTGTTTCAAAAACAAATTCAGTGAGACAGAGTTAACACTATAAAGAAAATGAAAGTAGATGAAATTGTCAGGATGGGAAAATAAAGGCAGAGTAGGCAAAGTCCATTGTTTCTGGTGTTATCATTAGAGTTAGGTCAATTCCAAGCTTCTTAGTGGGCAAAACAACACTAAAAAAGAAAAGAAAATAAAAAGCTCTACTAGGAAGATGGTGGGTAATAACAAACCAAGGGTGAATTAGCCCAAAATTCTCTCACCCTCCAAAATAATGTATCTTCATGTCTTTAACCTCATCTCTTGGACAATGTGATCTAAATAATCTGACTATCTGAGTGTATAATCATTATCTTCAGCCCCCACAGTATCAAGCCCATTTTATAGATCCAGAAAGGCAGGAATAAAGACTTGTTATTTTCAAGGTCACATAACGAGTTATGAAGGAAAAAAGTTACCCACTAGGCTCATGTGATTACTAAAGCAAGATTCATAAGCCATAAATGCAAAATTGCATGTTTATACACGATTAGTTTGTCTGAAAAAATCATTATCTTATCTTGGTAGCTGGTAATTGCAGCTTTCTAGTATACATACCTTCAGTAGCTCACTGCTATATTGAACAGACAAAAATGAAGTAAAATTATATGGCTTATCCTCACATGAACAATTTATAAAAGTCTCAGAATAACACACCTGCTGTAAAATAGAAATTTGCTAACTTATAATGAACTTGCTCTTTGCTGGGAATAACCATGCATAACTAATTACCACCACATTCGCCAGGGAGAGACACAGACATCTCCAAATGGTGAAACAATGTGTTTGTGACTGCCTGGAACATGCTTTAGTATTAATATTCCAGTGATATTTCTAATCCTTTTGTTTACAATTGTGGGTTGTGCCTCTTTGCTGAATATTGACTGGAATTCTGAACCCACATTTAATAGTAAGATAAAATTCTTAAGATATGGAGAATAGAAAGAACAAGAGGGCTAGAGTGTGTGTGTGTGTGTGTGTGTATGTTCATGTCTGCAAGTTCTATAAGAGGATAGGGCTGGTGGGGAAGGAGGAAATTCAACTGGTTGCTGGGTGTTTTACTGGACTACAGGTTGGCTGGAGTGCATTGATTCTGGATACAAAAATGTAAATCAAGAATCTTAAGTGGTGGTTTCCTTTTTCCTCTGGCTTGTGGGCTGCTCATCTTGGAAAGAAGAGCAGAGTTTGGCTGGAGGAAACAGTGCCCTGATCTTATATTGAGTTGCAAAGATGTTGGAAACCCACTCCTGTTTCCAGGAAGTGACATGATCAGGATTCAGGTGGTCCAGGAGATAGTGTGGATTTCTTATAGCTGTTTGTCTAAAACTTCCTTTCAAGGATGACTTCTAAACTGGACTAATGTCTTTATGGATGTTCTGTTCAGCTCAACATCCTTTTTCTCAGCTCCATGCACTTTCTTGCACTGAGGACTCAGAGGCAGATGGCACCCTCAGAGGAATTTCTTCCAGTTGGAGACAGAGCGTGCCATGTTAGCCAACAGTTTCAATAAGTGTGATAAACAGTAAGGAGGGTGCTGTGTGAGCAACAAGGAAAGTCTCAGGTGTTTAGATAAGGCTTCTAGGAAGTGAAGAGAAATAGGACACATCTGTATTTGATCATTTCCTAAATTTCCACGCTAAGATCTCATTCTCTGATTCTCCCTAACACCCAGTGATCTCCATCTTTTCTAAGATGTCACCTAGCAAACTGCATTCATTAAGAAAAAATTTAATTTTCCCATTGTCATCAGTTAAAGACATATCTAACTGCCAATCTAAACCTCTGTTCTTCATCAAGTATCCAATATGAATATACATTGTTATCCAAAGGCCAACAAAAATGTGTCATTTATCCTATATTCACATACAGCTTCTATATATTTTCTCCAAGAGATTGAAACAATATCCCACAGAACCTCCATGGCTGCTTTTGTGGAGCCATGGGTGACCCTCGGAATATCTAGCATCAAGATAGTTGTCCAGGAGGGTTCACCAATTATGCCCTACATCCATCATTTCCTCTCACTGATTTTGTTTCCCCCTCCACATCCTGATGTTTTCTAAAATCCATTCCAGCAAGTAAAGAACATAGGCTATGGAGAGGCCCTATCTCTCTTTCTCATGTAGCTAAATAGAAACTTCTTGGGACGTAATGCATGATCATTCCTTCAGGGGCTGGGGGTACAGGGGCTCTGTTTAGACCATGGAGGGATCATGGAACTGAATGCAGAATTCTAGACTGGAATAGCAAACCCCCTATTGTTTACCAACATTAACTGAAAGAGAATGAGTGATGAGTTAGAAATCTAGTGGCTACACAGTCTACAAAAATTGTTACAGTCCAAAAAGACAGCGTAGGGGCAGATTAGATTGGCCCCTGCTGTTCTATCTCATACTACCCTGGGTAGCTGACTTAACCTGTATAGATACAGTTGCCTTAATAGGAGATTGATGACTATGTCTTCCTCCACTCAGTTAATAGAGCATGGGATAGGAGATCCATATAAGATTACAACTTAGTAAGATCCAGCATGTGATGTGTGTTTAGTGAACTCTAGCTACTATTGTTGAGGTTGATGCAGTTACTGATCCTTTGTCTTTGCCTGTATGACATCACTTATTCCTTTGCTGGCAAGCACCTGTAGTTCACAGATCTGCATCCCCTACAAGCTGCAGAGATGGCTTTGGTTTGCACAGAGCACTTCAATAGTTTGTGTAATGTGTAGATTGTAAATAAAATATTAACTTGTGAACAATCTCAACAAGAGCTGAATGGACCAAGTTTTCCACACTTCTCCTTGTATTTGATCCTGGAGTCAATTTTGGTAGAGGAGACATAATGTCCAGCCTGTCTTCCTATGACTCACAGTTGGGAGAAATTACCCATTGGGTAATTGCCATCCAGTGGAGCTTGCAGACTGATTATTTATGGAGGAAGATGGAAGGTAGCCACCAGACTTGGTACCACCTCTGATATTAGACTACAACAACTACCCCATTCCTTCCCAAAGGAACCTCATGAAATTGTCCTCACCAAGTTCCTGTTCTTAACTTATTAGTTAATTAATTATAAAGTAGCTACTTACTAAACACCTAAGCTAAGCATCGAGCATCTGCTATACGGCCTTGGTCTTGGTTCACTGGCTATCTTTGAATGAGATATTCTGCACTTTCTCATATATTTAACTATGATACATCTATGTACAATTTCTCAGAGTTAGGTTGAGAAGCATTTTGAAGAGACTCTGCTACTTTGAGCATAGGAAAGATATCATAGTATCCTAGGAGAAAACTTCTTAAAATCAACTAGTACAAGAATTCGACCCATACACGGATACTTTGAGAATGCTTTCAGGTCCTAAAAATAACTGTCTGATACCAGCCTCTAACACTGCATATAAGACTTGCTGTCTGTAAATCAAATTATACTTTTTGGTTTTAATTTTTAAATGTCTAATCCTCAGACTGTATTATTTGATACTTAGGAACTTTCCAGTTTAATATAACTCTTGAACTAAAGTCGTCGCCACCCATTCTCAAATACTTTCCAGGATTCTCTCTAGCTTTTTGTTTTTGGTGTCAATTCTTATTCAGATTCCCAGGCAGTTTTAAAATGTAACCTCTTGTATTAAAAAAAAAATCCTCTTAATTGAGTGAATTTATGGACAGACACCATAAATCAGTGCTGCTTAAATTTGGGGAGGGGAGTAGGGTGTCATAGATGCCTTTGATAACCTAATTAAAACTATGTATTTTCCCTTGGAAAATGTCTGTGTACATA